CTGAAAAGAATGAGTTCATGAAGCAGGACGACCACAATACTCAAAAAGGATGAGATTACACGCAACGATTGAAAGCAATGGAGTGCACCCAGTCCTCATGCGCAGTGATGGAAAGAGCCCGTTTCACCGCCTAAACCAGTTACCTCAAAGAATAGAACGGGAAAGGTATAAGAAGCTGTAGAACTAACCTTAGAGCACGCAGTCTCACAGTAAAGATCAATGGATCTTTTTGTAGTCCCCACAGCAAGAAGAACCATTCCTAAGAAACACTTAATATTCTACGACTACTGATAAAATTACACAGATTATTGACATCCTGATAAGATCAGAATGAGCACAGAATCTTGTTCATTTATCGACTTCATTTTGTAAACTTGAAAGCTCAATCCAGCAAGAGTCAAGCAGAGTCCACCCCGCCGCTTCATCTTATTTTCTGAACTAACCCTTTTCTTTCAAAAGAACCTTCGAGTGAAGGAGCTATCCTTTGCCGATAAATCACGTTGCTCTCAAGAAGAGCCACTTCCCTAGAGCTCTCCCTTTGGAAAGTGGTCAATTGTAAAGTTCTGCATATCTATTTGCGTTGGCTATGGAGACAATAAAAGATTAAGTTTGTGGACCCGGACCGAACCGATGCGAACATGGGAATTTGGCACTATTTACCCTTTCTACCTCACTTTCCCAAGGATGGGAAATGTTTTTTCCAAATCTTTCTTCGACGATGAATGTCACAAATTCGCTCTTGGAGGTAGTCTGAGCGTAGTGCACGAAGACGCATCCATTTGGTGAAAGCATCATGGCGCACACACCACAGACTGTGGACTGACGGTGGTGGGGTAACAGCGATTGATAGATGGCGAGAAAAGACGTCTAGAGGTTCTTCGAACGTAACTGTATCAATGCGATGAGCTACCACATCTATCTACTTACTGGCTATGTTATCCGCTTCGTCATAATTCACGTTGTGGCAGGGCTATCGCGAAGTATCCCGTCCATGAGTTCACATTAGTCGCCATCAGATCACTTTATAGGGCCTGCGCTATTGTCGTGCACTTTCGAGTCGCGACAATAGCGGCGGACAACGGCACTCTCTGATATTCATGAGTTAGTCTACCCCACCCACTTAACAGCTTCTTCGACACGACTTCTCCTGGCTTGTTACTTTAACCCTTTCAGACCTGGCGGTGGCGATTGCCACCATCAAATTCAAATGTCTGCATTAGCAACATTTCTACTACCCACTGTAGAGATTACTACAGACGACCTTCCTTCCTAATTATGCTTTAAGCCTGTTTTCTATTGTGTGTAGCTGTTAGCATAACAAGTAATTTTTTTGGGTTAAAAGTGCACCAATAAATCAGCGCTGGTCTCAGCAAGCTTGGTATGTGTCAATCATTTCTGAATTACTTGACATATAGTCAATTTTTTTATCAAAAAGTAAGATATAATGTTGTGCAAGATCATCAACCTTTTCGACATATCTATGAAATTTGGAATTGTTTCGACATAAGCTAAAAAACTAAGAAGCTGTAGCAATTTTCAAAGCTTCCTCGTTTCTTAGTTTGAGATCGACTAGCTCTCAAATTTTCGCTATAATGATATTTATGTGCTCACATAGTGAGAAGAAAAGCTTTCTTTGCAAAAAAAAATCAGTTCCGTAAGGATGTAAATGAACCTGTACATGACGGCGGAAACTATAGCTGAAGAGCAAAAAGAAAAGCAAGATATTGGGAATTTGGTGGGGAAAAATTAGGACGCAAAACTCAGGGTCCTCTTCGATAGAGCTTTCCAAGATAACTTCTAATAGTGCATTTAAATGTTTCTAAAAGCTATTCGTAATGAAAAAACGAAAACTCACCATTTGACAGCATCTGCATGTCTGCGGCAATCGCAATACTGTACCTAAAGTCATCAATCTCGAAAAAATGACTAGGAGACGGGCTGTTGTTTACTCGATCCAACCACCAAACTCGCACTCCCGATTTCGAGTTATCAATCTATGAAGCAAGCGAGATAAAATTTAGTGTACTGAAAACACATGAGAACAACAAAACTATAGTGGAAATACTCTAAAGTTGTGGTTGATTGCCAAGGGTGTTGTAGGGACATTCGACATCATTCACATACCGAACGATGACAAGAATCAGTGTTCCCCCTCACACATACTTTTTCTGTGTCGATACAAAGGCCCCGCACACATTAGTGGCGTGATGGTTTTTTTTAAAGTATTTCAAAACAGAAGGAAAATGGGATACCCATGAAGCAGCCACAACTATTCTCTCCATCGATGCTGTGCCACAGAGAGTTCCAACAGAACCATTGATTCCCTCTAAAAAAGCATTTCAAAGCTTAACAAAGCATATTTAAATATGCAAGAAATTGAAACTTGCCTAGGGAGTTAAGAATGCGAATTTTCGGATTTTCAGCTTCAACACGGTAAACAACAACCCTGCCATCGGAACCGCCGCTCAAGGAAGAGGTCAACTGAAAGCAAAATAGTCACGAGAATTCAATCCAGAAATATCTGTAAGCGGATGGCGTTGATTATTCGGGATTTGTCGGTCATAATTCTAATGGCGAATTTGGGGACACTTCTGCTAATTCGAGTTTAGATCGTCGGAGGAAGACAAAATTCAGAAGCATAACCACGATCCATGTCATTTGCTAGGAACTTACAGTGGAGTATGATCGCCAGAATGAAGGAAATCGAAATGGGTTCAAAGATTCGGAAAAATCGTTTCTGGGGTTGTCGTCGTGAACTGGTTCTCTCGCAGACGCTGGTTCAGGGCGCAGGAAAGAGAGAGGCCGATGGAGTGTTGCCAGTGCTACACGGTGGATGTGGTGTCATTGCCCTGCCTATCTCACAGAAAGCGGCCGAGGAGCGAATATTCGTTGATACCTTCCAATAATAACTGAGTGTTATTGATGAAGGAAAGAATCAGAAGAAAAGCGATGTGTGAGCACTACGTCACAACAGAACTGGTATTCGGCCAGAATTTGTGAATGAAAAGAGGTTAGTGAACTTCCTTACATTTAAACTGTGGACAGTCAGAGATGTTAGTAATGCTGTTAGTTAAGTTCTAAGGCTTCAAGCGGCATCGAAAACACATAGTACAGACTTGAATTGATTTCGGAATTAGTAAAGAAATAAAAGGCCACTCGCATTACCTTAGAGTGAGTGTGAAAGGGAACCAAAATATTGAAGGAATAAGAGGAACACAATGTCCCAAAGAGATGATGACAGGAAACTATATAAGATGCAAGATTAACGCAAGTCTGCAAAAATCTAGTTACCTTTATCCTGATAGAGAACGCTTGTTGATACTCGCTTCAGTACTGTAATTGGACCTTTGTGATAGCGCGATCAGACGACCAACACTACCGGAAAGGAGGGCATATAAACATGAAGTTCTTCAGCAGAACTTCAAGAAAAACTACCATGAGATGATCAGACTTAAGGTAACATTTCGGCTCACAAAACTCTGGGAGTTGACCCAGTTCGATAAACGGTCAATGTTAGTGATTTCGCTAGCTGACGGCTAACATTTTTTTCCGATTATTAGGCTACTATCAAAGAACGTTTTTAACCCTTTGACGACAATGCGGATTTGCACGTAGCGTGCTCGTGGGACCACACCTCTTTTTGGCGCGCCCAACTCTCGCACAAAATGGGGCAAAATTGTCCCTAAAAGCAGTTTTTCTATCAAAATTTTGACTATGACAATAAACAAAATATGACTGCAGTCTTAAGCTTTATGATCATGTATTGTGGAATTAGAAAGTGGAAGTTTGGAAAGAGAATTCGGATTCGATAATGGGATGGGGTTTTGGAAGTCTAGAGGTTCATGTGCAAGTAGGATTTTGATATAGATTTGCTTATATTATCTCTTGTTGTTTAAGACTGTGGAAAAAGTTAGAAGATCTGGTGTGTAAGTTCACGCTTAAGCTTCAAGTAGATGTCAACACTAGTTAATACAAATCGGGCGACGCGAAAGCCATATCCTAAAATTTCATACAAATTAGCTAGTAACAATTATTTTTGCAAAATATGCTAAACATAGGCGTAACGGAGCTTGGTCTCAATTACTGACATGCTGAAAATGTTTTAAAAGGGAAAAGAAGGAAATTTTAGGGTGGCACCCACCATGGTGCCATAGTGCAAACATCGTAAACCGCTCCTATGTCACCCACCGGTGGGAGCCATTTGTCGCATACAGGTCGTTAAATTAGGAGACTTATCAAGAAAGTGTGAAGTTACCTACCCAACCTATCATTTACTTGGTCGAATGAAGTGTCATGAAATGCAACTCGCAGGTGTATCTCAAAGTGAACGAGACCGTGATGACATTTAAAAATTTGCAGAGCTATTCGTAAGACACCTTCCTGTATATGAGTGGGACGCGTAATAAAACAACGGCATTGCTTTCAGTGATCTATTTCGAGGAAGCTTAGCCCCGAACGAAATCGTCGATATTAGTCAGTGCTCGAATTTTTCAGGTTGCCGTGTATTTGTGGCACTCTGTAAATGGTGCATACAAGCAAAGATCTGAGAGAGCGACTGGATATACTATTTTTCCAACCATCAACCTCTCTTCAAAGCCGTTCACCAGAATCTTTACTATCAGGATAGAGTCACGCAGTACGACAAGGCCTTGTGCCTTCAGGCTCATCTATACCTATCGTTCCCCTCCGTCGAATGTGAATGAAAGTTTCATTTGCGAATCGACGCTGGTACTGTCAAGTAAGTGGAATTTGGAGGGGAATGACGAAACACGGCGCGCAAGTTTGTTTCACCCGACACAGTTAACCGTTAAGCGCGGCGGCGGCCGCGGAAAGCGCAGGGTTGCGGCCGAAGGGGCGCAGCAAAGACCAGCGACGGCGCGGCGAGGGGCACCACGCGCGGGCGGGCAGCTGCAGATATGTTAGGAAAAATGAGCAAAGGAAGAGCGAGCTCCGACAAGGCTTGAGCCTACCTCAGCTATACTTTATTTATTTCTTGAAGAATCGTCACTTTCATTGATGTCATAATTGACCCATAAACTAATACGTACCAAAGGAACCCGGAATGAGAGTTGATGATTTTTAAGGGCTTTAATTTGGTTCTGAGATTCGATAACATTGAAGCCTTTAGACATACACCATACCGATGATGCCAATTTGTCTGCTTGAGAGGATTCACCCGATGAAAGGAAATTCTAACGGAAATGAGTCTTAAGTCAAAATGAGCCACCAAAGAACAACTCACTCCAGGAAAGGTCTGCAGTACGACCTGCCCTTCTGATGCAAAAACAAAATGATCTGTTGTCTGACAGGCGGCAAGACAGTGAGAACGAGGATTCACTCCGGCGGAGGCGAACTCTTCTTCCAACAAAACTTTGACCATTTCTCACGATGGTGGCTTCAAAGGGGAGATCCACTACTGAACGATTTCTAAGCACTTCCAGAGAATTCTCCTAAATGACTTCCTTTTGGATTTGCTCACAAACAAACTCAGTGTTGTCGGATTTATTGTTTTCATACACCGTGCACGTAAAAGCTGTACAACTACAGATTATACACGACGCGAAATAAACAATAACAATTTATTCCCAACAAAACAGCGGTGAAAATTGCTCAACGAAGTCTTCGCGCTTCTCTTTCGGCCTCCAACAAAGTCAAGATATCTCCTTCACGGACAGGCCCCTTCACGTTTCGAATGATGGATCGGTTTCCGTTGTCATCCATAAACTCTACGCGTACCTGAAATTGTCGACTCAAAGAATACACTTTGATTTAAAACATTAAATTATTTTTAATAAATGATCAGGAAAGAAAGAAATGAAATTCATTACTCCAGTGTTTTTATCAGGAAGGTGGCACGTTTTTGTACATTAGCATAATCTATTAGGTCGGTCCATAATTTTTGAGAACCATTGTACAAGGCGGAGCTAAAAGAACTGACCGCTCCGAGTCTCCAATTTTTTATGAATTTTCTTAGCAAGGTGGACTCGAACGACCTCAGAAAAAATAGATTTTGTCTTACTTTGCTTTCAAGTTGAAGGCGTTGCCATCAAGCTGTCAACGATTATCTTCCCATCACTGACACTGGTATTAGTTGATGCCGGTTCCCAGCGCAAAGCCCCTCTCCGTATTCCGCCAACGACTCAGGAAGTTCGAATTCAGAGGGAGTTGGGCTTTTGCTGTCGGAACTCCCGAATCGTTAAGCCAAACTACTGCAACTTGTGGATTTGTTAGCACACTGCACCCAGTCCACATCACCGATGTGTGTGATGGATGGTCACTCGAAGGAATCTTATGAGAAACTAGGAGGACATGTATTGATGTCAGATCAGGTGTAGAGCTGATTCGGGCTCAGAGCATGGGAGAGACAAACTCCACATATTCAAACCTTAACGACTTTATCGAGATGTCTCAGTACACTCACCTTGTAACACCAAAAGCGCTCTGACAAATAGCGCCCACTTTGTTCAGATCCCTTTCCAAAAGCGCCGGATAGAACATAGAGATTGCCAGGAGGGGGTTGGATTGTGGATAATCTTCAAATAAAAGAAGGGAAGACTGATAAGAGGTAACCACCCGTGCACGTGAGAATAAGAGAGTGTGCCCTCGAAGCTATCTTCTGATGTAATCCTCCATATAGCTTGGCGCGTGGAAGATCCTAATCTGAAGTCATGAAGAAAGAGGCTCAAAAGTAGGTGTTCAAAGAAATTGGAATCCTAGCTAAAGGAAGTAACAAGCAAACGAGATGGCTAGCCTGTCGGATAGGTGAGGTTGTGTGCTAAGTTGCAGGACATCTTAAGAAGCTTCAATACTTATCGAAAGATTTTTACACCAATACATGTAAAGTGTCTCAACAATTATGGACCGACCTAATATAAAAAGCACTTGAAGGCTTCTGTTATGTCCAAGGAGCAACAGCAGATGCAAGCAAGAGAGAGATGAACGAGTAAGGATGGCGTTTTCACACAACTTTATCAAAACTCATTCAAAGTATCTGCCACGAAAAATTCGGCACAGAACTTTGCTGAAATCAAAAAAAAAAAAGAGGGAATACCACTTAATGTAAAGTTACTAAAAAAGACGAAACATTCGTAAAATATTGTAGTTGAGCTAGGAAAAACGAAGAGTTATACGTTTGTAGAGGATGTTTCGTTTAGAGAACAACAACTGCTGAG